TACTCAAGATGTTGAACAGATTGTCCAACATCCTAGAATCCAGTCTCAGCCACAACGCCATGTCAACCTTCCTTCGAGTCGCCCTAACAATCTGCAAGTAAATCACGTACTCAGCGGCCCCACCAGACTACACCACCAAGTCGCTCACAAGGCGCGTCATCCTCCTGGAGTCGTGCCACCCAGCCTGCCACTGCAGCTTCCAATCGCCGCAGGTCTACACGCTCTTTCCTTGAGAAAGCGCGTGCGTCCCAAGAAAGACATGGCAGTGGCTATATTAAATGACCTGGATGAATAGACTTAGGTACGTCAAGCCAACGGAGTTAAAAGCTATAAAACTTCAGTTTAATCCGTTAAGAGGATAAGAACTACCTGCACGAGGATAAATATAACCTCGCCAAACGTTGGAGCGTTTGGAGACCGCCAGTGAACAAAAGGTGTCACGCCTGAAGCAACGCCGCTCTGAACTACAGGAGAAACTTGAAACGGAGCGCAACAACAGCAATAGGCTGGCGCTTCAAAACTCGAGCCTGCAAGCGAAGCTTGTCTCGCTCCATGCTTCTATGCAGCATCATTAACAACTGATCCAGTGGCACAATACAAGCAATCAAATATAGACAATCACCAGTGGCATTTGATTTAACAGGATTACCTCTTAATTGCCATCAAAATATTTGCACGGTCGACGCGATAGTATCTCGAAATCCGTTCGTTGCCTTCAATTTCCCTGAACGAATACTACCGAATTGCTCGTACACCATTACAGACTCGGGGTCCTCTCCTCGCCAGATTTTCGTGTATACGGTTTTGAATTGTTGATGCCGACGCGTCGAGTACGGACTTGGTGAAGCCGCATGCACGTTTTGAGAAGAGCACGTCGATAGTGGGTGTCGTCCGCAGGTAAAGGCATCTTTAGACGGGCAAATAAGCGTAGAGCGCGCATATCCCATTCGGCAGGCTGACGGGAGGAACCAAACTGCGCGTTAAACTCCATCAACTGGCGATATACAGTCATTCGCCCTGCTCCTGAAGCTCTCCTGGCTTGTTTCGAGCTGCGCTTTAACACTGTCTTAATACGTATTTCTACGCATTTCTTTATACAAGGAAACGCTGTGTCAGCAATTACATAATATCCATCAGGTGTACGGCTCAGGAGCTTGTCGTATAGCTCTCACTCCAAAGCCGCGTCATGCCAGCTTCCACGCGCATTAACACTACAGAAATAAGGCTCCCGTCGGGCGCAACTGCCAAAACGTTCGAGCAGTATTGACTGTATGTCCAGTCGTTATAGTAAGCATTCTGAACATCATCTGAGCTGGCAAAAACCTTTGTCTACCAGTAGGTGGCGCAGTGCAGTCATTGCGGAGTACTCCTCAAATACCATCGGATTTGCTGGCCACCGAATCCCCGCATCCCTCATTGTCTTCAAGACCTCGAGCAAAATCTCCAACGAGAACGTCAAGTTGCGAGCGCATAGTAACGGAGTCACAGCAAAAAAAAACTGTTGCGGATAGAACTCGGGCATAGTCGAGCAAAGATAATGGAGAAACAAAGCTAGTGTCGCAGTTGGAGAGAGTGATCGGCGATCTGGCCTTGGTTCCCCATCCAGGTCAATGTCGGTTTGTGGAAGTGGTGACGTGCTTCATCTTCTGCAAAACAATGACACCCAAACGTTATTCACCGTGCTCTTGACGCTGTAATGCCCTCCTACCTCGACTCGAAGTGACTCAGCAAGAAGAGAAAGCTGCTAACGTCGAATCTAGTAGCCAAAATGAATGCCTTGTCGTTTCCGGCGCCATAAATTGCCTCCCACGCAGTTTAATAGCGTAGTTTTGTGTGAAGGTTTGCTCTCGTCAGGTAGTTATGTTCCCGTTGCCGCTTTCGCTTGCTCTGCTGGCCCAAAACGCCCAGCGCAAGCATATGAGTCAGCTTGTTGATACCGCCGCTTGCCTCGTCGTCAATGGAGCCACTCATCGCTTAGTGATTGGTCGAAACGGCGTCTCAAATGCGCTGCAAGTGGAGCTCCGCGTCCTAAATCTGGAACGGGGTGGTTTATGACGTCATAAAACCCTGTGGAAATTGTTTCACTGGTACATTAAACCAGTCACTAAGCAAATTCACCGTTTCTGTAGATATAGACGATACTTTCCATTTTAATATTTGAATAGGTATTAAAGTACTGGTATTAGTACATAGACGAGGAAATCCTAATAAATTTATATTTTGAGGAACCCTGAAAATAAATTATGCATGTAGTAGTAAGGTTTGTACAGCCTTCACTCTAATTACATCCCAATTATTTGCCCGTTTTGTGAAAACTAACATGAGAATAGATACCTGCATGGTAGATCGGAAATCTGCAAATAAATAAATTGTGCTGAACTGTGGCAAATAAATATCTGCATGAAAACGTGATCGTGTTTCTAAGCTAATGGCTTCGGGAAAAACTTGCTCCTTGAGCGTTGGGAAGCCATCCGAGAAGCGTCAGACATGGCTAAGGTTGCGCGAGTTGGAAGTCTGAGGTGTGTGCGAGTTGCAAAGTGAGTTTGCGTCGGTCGCATCGGTTGCAGACCGCTGAGAGCCAGCGAAAATCTGGTGGCTGCCCAACAAGGACAGTAAATTTCGTGAAGAAATACCCAAAAATGATATAATTTATTAATTTTGGCTAGCCCATAAAGAAGGTTTTTTTAAGCTCCAGCAATTTATTTTCAGTAAGTATTTTGCTTAAGGATCCTGCTTTTTAACTTTATAAATATTTTTGCAGTAAGGTGTGCAACCAGTGTCGTGTCATTTCTGAACCCATTTCTCGCTGGTCAATATCTTCCGAGTTATATTTAAAGTTTCACAGGTTTTAAAAGCGCTTGCTTGAGGAACTTTAATTTAGCAACCCGTTTCGTGTCACTTTTAAACTTATATCTAGTATGGCTGTATCCAATATCGCCAGATCGCCCATGAGACAACTTTGTGGTTAGGTTAAGGCTGAAATTATCATTACAATCATCTGTTAAGGGTATTGATTCACAAAAGCGAAGGACCAAAACGGGTGAGACACAGTTCATAAAACAAGCGTTGACAGCTCAGGCGGTTAGCGGCAGTGTTTATTGAGGGCCAGTGTATTTGGTGTGGGTTCGAGTCCCCCCGATTGCATCGGAGCAGTGTATGTCGCCGTGCAGCCTTGCACGGTTAATTCTCCGCGCTAAATGGTAAGTAATTGTATCTGCACTGCAATCGGTTAATATCTAGCAGCCAATGTGCGTGTATTTTTATTTGCCTCCTAGAGCCTCTATAGTCCCCTGTGCGGCGTCTGTAGTTTTGCGTCTCTTCTTCTGCTTTGTTTTGTTTGTGTTTTCCTGCTCCAATTCATCCAGCCGTTTAGCAGTCAAAATGTAACCGCCAACAGAGGCCGTCTTTCTTCTTCTTATCTTCGTCGATGGCTGCGGCAGCGTCAGAATCTCACGGCGAATTGCCAGCTCGGCCATCAACCAGGCTGCAACCCGGAAGTCCGCCGGGCTTCCATTTCGTGTGTAGATTGCCATGCGCTGGTGCATCCTCACCAGCGATAGTGGATATAGCCCACACACTCGAAAGCCTGACGATACGTTGGTGGAAAAATGACATCTCGTCCAGGCCAAACAGAAAATCCTTACCGCGGTAGTTTTGTCAATAAAATACCCTCCCTCAGGATCCTCATCGACAAAATTATTTACTAGAGCACGAAGTTTACCCGTAAACGATGCGAAAACAGCCACATAGAGAGGTTAAAAATGGTGTGTTGCGCTCGCAGTCAGGCAAACCATTATAATCTTCGCTTGAATTGCTTTCTTGACAATAGAGCGCGAGTAATGGGAGGTACAGCCATCCATTACCAAGAGGAGAGGACGCTTTACGGTGGCTGGGACAGACTTCTAAAAAAACACGAGACATGACTCAAATAGGGTCAAACTTATGAAACCAGACGGGGTTGCCGTAATACCAGCACCAGGTGCGTCACAGCTATTAAGAATATCCAGCGGCACGGTCTTTCCAGGAACAATGAAAACAGGCGGCACAACGAAGCCCGAGGCACTTTGTACAAGCGATCATTGTCATGTGAAAACTTGTAGTTGGAGCAGATGTCCACACGTTTTTAGAGCGTCGAACGGAAACCACACGTTTCCCCTTCGACGCTTTGTAGAATGCGGTTTCATCGACGTTAAAGACGCGGTCGGCTGTAACACCATTTTGATAATGACCTTTGCCATTGAGTAAAACAGCTGGTGAACGTCGGTATAATCAACCGTATTGCGAGCTTTGGACAGCATTTGGGCGGAGCGATCCGTGAGCTCGGGGTGACGCTCTCTGATTTGCGTGTACCACCCTCCAGCGACAGTCCTACCAGCGACCAGCTCAGATATTTCCACCGCTTTCTTCATGATCTCGGCACGTCCTACCGGTTGGCGTACAATTTGGCGCCCAATGACCCATTCTTGAATTGCATCCTCAGCCTCTGTCGGCAGCAGAGGCTTTAACCCTCGTCGCTGTAGAATAACGTCTTTCTTTGCGTTACGATCCCACTTCCTCAGCGTGCTTCCTGGAATCTTGAGGTCCACGGCAACGGCGGAGGCTGGCTCACCGCCTTGGACACGCTGAACTGCACAGTCGAGGGCTTTTTGGCTGTACGATGGGGCCATTTGTAGCAATGGAGCGGTCTCGAGTCAAATCACAATCGATTTGCTATTGTGAATGACAGGTTCACAAGCACTTAATGTTTTTACCAATAACGTTACTTTTTTTTAATAGCCCGGTCTGATTGGGCATGCTCCCGACGCTACAAAACTGGTTTTCGATACGGAACTGGTTGCAGACCTTAAGTAATTTTTCCTCAACAATATTTTATATTTTTGAGGATATCTGGTTATTTAAAAACTCGATTATCTCGTCAACTCATAATGGGATCATTTTGTTTAGCGCAGTCTCATATATTTTGAGGATATCTGGTTATTATATTAGAGGTCAACGCTATCCTAGTGAAAAGAGCTGACCTCACCTCCTAGTGCATTCAAATGCATATCGCGGAACTCAGCCACTGGAAATTGCTGTTGTTGCTGGAACCGATTCTGATCTGTAACTCCCCATTGCCCGCTTGCAAATGTATCATCTGGTGGAGCGGACGCAGGGGGGAAAGCGTCCCAGGGGGTTGCTGCTACCGAAGTAGGAGACGGCAGAGTCGAGAACACTGGAGCGGAGAACTCGTTATTCCAAGATCGATTCGCTGGGCTCGAAGGGGCGTTCACAGTCATAAACTGCGGAATACCGTGTGGTGGAGTGTAGTTGGGCTCTGGGAACGCGAAGCCTCCGTTGGTAGGCGACGGCATCTGCATCTCATTCTCGGGTGGAGGTGGCGGGGGCGCGACGAACGCATCCCACCCATTATCCATAGACGAAGCCTTGTTTTGTGGACTACTAAGAGGCGACCCATACGGCGGCGATTCGCCCACGAACGCCTCAAATGAAGACTTGCGAACTGTGCAATGGGCCGGAAGTGGGGAAGTAGCTGCTGCCATAATGGCTTCAGACCCGACACGAGCGCCATTCTGGGCCACAGTCATGAATTGAGCCAGCACGCCGCCGTCTTCGCCCTCGTCTTCGCCATCCTCGACCAAAGAACGAATGCGACCAGTCGCTTCATGCATGCGCTCAGCGTAAGCGACGCGGCCACGCAGCACACGACGAAGTAGTGGAGCGAGTGCAGCGTCTCGAGACATGACGAAAGCACGGAGGTCGCGAATTACCGTGTCGGAGAGTCGTGTGTACTCCTGCGTTGTGGCTGCGAGCTTCTGCTCGTTACGGAACATCCGTTCCGTGTCCTTAGTCTTTTCGGATTTACCAGTGCTGGCTCGCTTCTCGTGCGATTCGCGCAGCCCCGCTACTTTACGTGCATAGTGATCGTAGAGCGCTTTCTGTTGCTGGAAAGCTGTCACTTCATTCTGAAGGTTCTGAGCATGTTTCAGCCAGCCTTTGACTGGAATCAGAACTTCTTGCTCCAGTCGCCCGTAGGCTTCTTGAAGTACCACCATATCCACATCAGCGCAAGCCACACGAGCTTCACCTGCGAACTGTTGCATCTCCGAAGCTCCCGAAGGTTTCTGCTGGAGACTGGCAGTGCCAGAGACACCGGACGACAGACTGTCGATGGCGCCGACCACGGAACTCGCCGTGGCGTGGAAAGTTCTGAGCGTCCCGGCGTAACTCTTCAAAGCCGAGTCCAACGTCGTCAGTCGCTGCAGAGTCGACTCGAAGTCCGAATAGGCCAAGTCATACGCCACGTTCGTGCTGGGCTTGGCTGCACCCAGCACAGTCAGCAGCTTGTTCTTCGTGCGCACACGCAGCGACGACATTCCTCCTCCTTCTGCTTGGATGCGGACGCCTTAAGCTCCGAGTCTGAGACTGTGTCACTGTCCAAGGAAATCTCGCTCTGATAGCAGTGGCATGTGCATTAACGAAGGTCGAAGCCTATCAATAGTAAAGTGACCTCGTCATCAGACTGCGAGACCGACGTTGACTAAAAATAAATCGTACTCTCTTTAATCTGAGGTCCGATCTGGAAGCGTCTAAGTGGTGCCGGCGTATGCCGGTTGGTAGTGTAGGAACTCCTGGGCGCACTGGGTCTCGAGTGGGCAGCTCTTGGCGCACGTGTAGACCGCAAGAGTGCCCCATTCACAGCTGCGTGAAGAGATGTCTCCTAGTGAGCTCTGGTGGTCCACTCCAAGGTAGTTTAGCAGCTGAGGCAGCACTTGGAACTCGAACTTGCGCTCGCCACCACAGCGCTCGCATGGTGGGACATCGCCAGAGTGCATTCCTTCCGAGTGTACCCACAGTACAGCTCCTTCCTCCCAGCGAGAGTAGCGCAGTACTTGGTCCTTGGCAAGAGCCACGCGTGTTAGGAAGCGCACGTACTGCGGGTCTTGGTCCTTTGTGTGGCCGAGTGCGTCGTTCAGTTCGCGTTGTGTCACATCCATGTCCATATCGTCTTCATCTTCCTCCTTCCTGTCCTTGTCTAAGAGCGCAGCCACAGTCAGTCAGGATCTAAACATCTAGAAACGAAAACTACTCAACGCACTCTTCTCGAACTCGGCCATCAGCTTGGCCTCGTACTCGTTCGCTGCTTCTCTACTGTCTGGTTCATGGTCGATCTCTAGGTCATGTTCGGGGAAAACCCACTTGGATCCCTTGGTGATCATCTGCCCCCTTGTCTCCTCCGACTCCACCAGCAAGTGCGTCTCCAAACTGATAGGATTTCAGCAGCTGTCGTTAGCTATAATGTCCACTAAAAAGGTCCTAGTTGTCTGTTCACTCACCTTTGTGCACACGTCTGCTTGTGTCCTCCTGCAGTCCAATGGTCCTTTTGATGTGCTTTACTACAGTACTGGGCCACGTGGCACGCGCTGCATGTGAACGTCGCGCGCTGTCCGCACAGAGCACAGAGGTCCACGTTGGTCTCTGTGGACTTCGGTTGCATTGCTCCTCCTTCGGCAGCGTAGAACGCATTGTTCCTGGGCAGTTGCAAGCGAAAAGCTTTTCCGTCTCCTTGGCGACTGCAGCCTGGAGAGCGACACACGAAGACGTACAGGCTGCGGTGAAAAGCGTCCTCCAGCTCGTCCAGTGGACAATAAATTTGCAGCAAGAAGGACAATGGAGAGTGACATTTTACGCATTGCAGCTGCTCGGTGGACGGGATGCCCGAAGTGGACGGAACCAGCCAACTCGGACGTCCGCCGATCTGTCCGCCGTCCCACTTGGTCCAGTCTGGCTCGCAATGCAGAGGTTTGGCGTCAACGGTGACAGGATCATCGCATACGAAGCCCAGCTCCACCTCGGGCGCCTCCTCGTCGTAGTCTAGCACGTCCTCTTCCGAGTCGCTCATCAACGCTGCAACTTGTATGGCTGTCAAATGACATTGTGTTCAAAACGTAAACGTGAGGTGGTTGACACGAATTTTTGGGAGCGATCAATTTTGAGCCAATGGACGAGGTCTGATTCCGCATCATTGGGGAGGATGACCTCCAGGACGCTTGTCGTGGCCGGAGCGGGCGTGGTAGGGCTTGCTGTAGCGCGAGCAGCTGCCTGTCGTGGACTAGAGGTGTTACTACTCGAGAAGAACGCGCTCGTGGGACAGGAGACCAGCGCGCGCAACAGCGAAGTCGTGCACGGTACGGCAGTTTACCATCACTTTAACGTGTGATGTGGTGCACTCAAGCTGAACTTCAATCTGATAACAAATAACACCAGCGGGTATCTACTACCCCAAGGGCAGTTGGAAGGCCAAGCTGTGCGTTAAAGGGCGAGAGCAGCTGTACGATTTCTGCGAAGAGTTTAACGTGCCGTTCTCCAAGTGTGGTAAACTGATTGTGGCGCATTCGCATCAGTCCGAGCAGCTACGGTCGATCCTCAAGCGCGGACTGGGAAATGGTGTGAGCGACCTGAAATTGTTGACACAGAGTGAGGCGCACACTATCGAGCCGCTCGTAGACTGCGATGAGGCTGTTTTTTCGCCCTCGACGGGTATTGTGGACTCGCACAGCCTCATGATGGCGTTGCAGGGCGATGCAGAGACCCATGGCGCCTTTGTGGCACGTGGGACTGCAGTTCTGGGTGGAAAATACGATATCAAGTCAAAGACATTCATCGTCCGAGCGGTGCAAGACGGTAAAGAACAGGAAGTGGAGTGCGACTATTTTGTCAACACCACGGGCATGTTTGCACCGAATCTGCTGGGTGAGATAGCAGCTCCAGGTGTACAACGTCCTGTAGGCCAAAACCTACTGCCTGCTGTCCCAGATCGGTTTGCCAAGGGCACGTACTTCAAGCTCAGCCCGAAGAATCGGCCGTTCACGTACGATATAATCTCGTCTTGAGGTTTTGTCTGTTGTTTCTAACCGATTTTATGCTGGGGGGTTCTACTTGTGTAGCCATCTCGTTTATCCGATTCCTGAGGTCGGCGGTCTCGGTGTGCATGCTACAGTTGATCTGGCTGGGAACGTCCGCTTCGGTCCTGACGTCCAATGGATCGACGAGATCGAGTACCAACCTGATCAGTCGAAAGCCGAGGAATTTGCCGAAAGAATCCGCACTTACTGGCCGCAAGCTCGTGCGGAGATGTTGGAGGCTGACTATTGTGGCATTCGTCCAAAGATTGCCATCAACGGTGGAGTCGTCGAGGATTTTTACATTGCGGTGAGTCTCCATGTAGCTGCTGCGACTATAACATTGCAATCGGCACTGAACTAACAGTTATTGGGTGTTTGTGGGTCATCAGGATAAGCACTCACACGGTGTACCAGGCCTCGTCCACTTGTGTGGCATTGAATCGCCCGGTCTTACAGCCTCTCTCGCTATCGCCGACACTGTTGTCGACATGCTACAGGACAAGCCATGACTCGGGGGTAAAAAAATGTTTCTTTTAGCTACACAACCCGCTCAACTTTTCTTGCCGCGTCCTCTTTTCTAGGCGACGCTGGTCTAATGTCGCTATCCTCGTCGTCCCAGTCGTCCGCCAGCTTTTTCGTCTTGAAGATATCATCGATCGACTCGTCGTCGTCTTCCAGTAGACCAAGCTCCACCAACGTGTCCTTCTCGATGCGCAAGTGACGCATTGCAACAAAGTACGTCATCGCTTGGACCACAGTACTGGCAACACCTAGATAGAAGGCAGTACCGAAGTGGTTCCCTTCGTGGTGTAGCACATGCGTCTCGAACATCCACACGCCTATCAGCGCCGCCTGTAGACTACCAGCGACCAACGCAGCCATCGCTCCACCGTGCACAAGACGCGACTGGAGGCTGTCGAAAGCAACGCCGACAAGGATCAACACCAGTGTGAGTCCTGAACACGTCGTGGCCATTCCTGACAGGACGACTGTCGCGTGGCCTGGAGCGCCGCACATGTCTGGTAGAAACCTGCCTAGCCACTCTGCCACTTGTTGTCGTTCACCAGCAGACGCGTGAGCCGTTCCTCGGTCTTGGTCTTCGTCCCATGCCAGCAGGAGCATGTCGACCGGATCCTCCGCTGCACAAAGACTGCTATTTGTCGAGCGCTCGGACCGCGAGCATGTTGCATCGGAGAATCCATGTGCAGCCTCGCAGTGAATACCCACCACACCTTCCTGGAAGAACGACGCGCAGGTAAACGTGGCTTCGGCAGCCCCCGAGTACATTCCGGGCTGTAGATTCGCCGACTGCATGAGGAAGCTGCGTAGCGTTTCACTGACCGTGCGGTTCTGGATCATCACACACGTGCCCCATATTCCGAAAGCCACCTCTAGATTGGCTGGGATTTCTCCGTCACTGTCAGAGCTACCGACAACGGTGATCTCTGACCAGTACGGCAGCAAAAGACTTGACAGCGATAACAGTCCAGCCAGCAGTGAATAAGCCACCGCTTCACGGCAAGAGAATATTGCATGAGAGCCTGTTAGTGTTAGATTTGAGCTTGAAGTAGTACAGGGCCAACTTACCGATGGCTCCAGGACGAGAGCACCCCATAGAGCTCTCGCTCTAGCGTCTTCAATAGAATGGAACTAGTCGAGTTGGTCTAGCGACCAAATTAGTCGAAAGGAAACGCCTTTAACTCCTGGTAGAGCTGGAGAAAAGTGCCATGGTTCTCGCACGGAAAGGGTCGTCGGTCAAGCGGAAAAGCGGCGGCAGTAGCTCGATTGCAACTTCTACCTTGTCGGCCGATGCAACCGCGCGTCAGGTAACGCGCGCAGAGTTTATGGAGCTCGCTGCAGCGGTCACCCAACTCAAGAAAGACTCGTTGAGGCATCAAGCAATCGGTAAATCTCTGATGTAGACCTATCGAGGTGAAGTTGAGCTATGAGGTACATGGATCTGATAAGTTGTTGCTTAGAGAGTCAACTCGCGAGCGATCTCGAGTTTGCAAATGCACAAGCTGCAGCGAACAAGACGGCTATGGGTACGCTGGCAGAGCTGGTGCTTGAGAAGACGTCCGGTATTGAGCAGCAAGGTGCGACGGAGTTGCAGACGCTGCAGGTGGAGTCAGAGCAGCGACTCACCGATGTGAAGCTGGCGTTGGAGCGTCTCGAGTTCCGTCTCCGTCACCAAACCCGAGACTGTCAAGCACTGACGGAACAGGTTGAACGACATCAAGAGGTAATGCAGGCGATGCGGACACAACTAGGGCAGACGCAACTACTCGTGGAGAAGCAGCAAGAAGACGCCAAGACGTTCGTGGAGAAGGTCGAGTACGCTCTTTCATCCTCGGAGACCAACGTGATGATTGCCACTGCCCAGTGTGCACAGAAGCTCGAAGCTTTCCAGCAACGCATGGTGGAGTACGTCAAGAAGCTCGATGATGACACACAAGGTGTGTATGACTATTAAATATCCATAGGACTATTCGCTGTACTCATTTTGGGGCCCTACTTGTATTGCGGTGATGGCTGTTAGAGCCCCTGAAGCAGCTATCGTGGCAATTACGAGACGTTGAGAGCAGGGGAAAACGTCAAACCACGCTGTTCCAGCAGGCTTTGGATGATCTCGTGGAGATGCGACAGGCTTTGCATGAGCTAGAGAGTCTGAAGGCGCTTGTCGAGCGGGAGCAAGAGTTTCGTGAATACTCACGCAAAGAGGTAGCGCAGTCATGTTTGTATTTCTCTGTTCGTCATGGATCGTATTGAACGTACCGGTACGCTACGCGTTTTTAGGACGCTCAACGTCTACAATCTGTGGAGCGCAAGATCAGCGAGGTCCTGACCCTCGCCGAGAGAGGAGCAGAGAAGATAGAGGTCCGTCATCTCGTGTCGCGTCTAGAAAGCAACGTCAAGACACGCGTGGAGGCAGTTCTCGAGGTACGTGCTGGAAAACACAGACCGTATCAGTACCGTACTCACACAACACTACAGTTAGTGTCGCTTTGCGTCCACAACCTCGGCAGTGCTACAACCCACGCATGATGCGTCGCATCCTAGCGTCTCTTAAAGGCACGTACCATTCTAAAGCAACAAGTACAGTCCGCTGGATTTCGATCAACGTACGGTACGGATACTGTCGCTTCCATCGACGTTCACCACGTACGGCCGTCTTGACAATGTGGTGATCATTTGTCTCAACCAGGCTCGCATGAAGCACGCCAGACGGCGACACGCTCTTCATGCTGTCGAACGTTTTGGTTCAGGCACACGGTAAGCCCAGCATCACATTTGCGGGCACCAGCGAGGAATGTGAGCTGCCGGGGCTCCGCTTTCTCGTCTCACGTGGCAGACTTGGTCGCACTGTCTGCTGGCGGTTCATTTGGCGCGAGGTCGTTCGATTGCAGCTCTCTCCGAGTGTAAACGGATTACAGTGTACAGTATTCGACGTGCCAACACAAGCGGTGACGACTCTGGCCGATTGGGTCGGAAGGTTTCATGCCAGCAGAGATCGTTATCGCTGGAATTGAGCCCTAAAGCTGCCAGACGAGGCGGTGGGGCAGCGAAACACCCGCCGCTGGCTACTGTGCGACGAGACAGCTACAGCACACCGACGTCTCGACGCAATGCGACGGCGCGAATGGGTCAATTGATCGATCGGGCAAACAAGACTCGCCGTAATTCAGTCCCGGCGCACCGAATCAGGCTTACGACCAGCGAGAAGTTGAAGTTTGACCTCCAGCATCTGATACATGTATCGAGAAATGGAGTTCGGACTAGAAGCAGTGCTCTTTTGAAGCAGTCTCCGTATTAAACACTGTACAGTTTGAATGTTTTCGCCGCGCAGCCACTTTTTATCTTCTGCTGTGCAGTTGCACCACCCAGCTTTTCACTTCTCGTGGACCACCTTTCCTCATCTTTTTATCGCACTTTTTCAGGGTGGATATTCCCCGCTTCACGTCTAGCAACCGGAAGCAATTGCTTCGAAGTTGACCAGGTCGAGCCTCACTGCACGCAATTCCTTCCTATTGATAGACCCGTGCTTCAAGAGAAGCAGTTACCGTAGCGCGTTCGCATGTTAGTGAATGCTATCGATCGCATCGAAAAGAGAATGCTGGAGTAACAACTTCAATATGGAGCGACTTTGGATAGACGCGACTTCAAAGCACACGTACGACGACACAACTAAGCTGGAAAAGTGATGAATAGCATCCAGCTCAACGCCGTGGAGTCGCGACGTCCGGCAACCACGCGTTGTGCAGATGCAACTGCGATCGCGGAGCTCTACACTGGCGCGGCTGCGTTGTTCAAAGTGGCGAACTGTCGAGTCGGAACAGGGCGTCGGTTGTGTTGACGTCTTGCTTGACAATTTGGCCGTTGCTGTAGGCTTTCACCTTCGCGTTCCTCGCCCGCAGATGTTTGACCTAAACGTGCAGTACAGTGCAGCCCAATCCACTCCGGAGGAACAGAAGCTTTCACTGTAAGCGTGAATCTTCAGCGCCCATGCTTTCGGGCAGCGCGCGCGGGTGAAAGGGGCGGGGCAATCGGCGACATTCTTGCCGCCCCAGGCGCCACGTAGCATCACGCTATTAATAACTGCCACGTTGCTCACCTCCACTCTCGGCACGTGGCATCCACATGCGTTAGACTGCTCTTTAATCGCGTTGAAAATATCCTCGGATCCACTTGACAAAGTAAATGCTGCGGCATCTCTACATAGCGATCTTGGATTTTACCGCCTGCTACGTAAGACGCGATGATCGATGGATCGCATTGCATCGTGCCGAACATGGCTTCAAAAACCAACTGCAAATGGAGCTTCGTGAGCTACAAATGCTAGTATTGTCGAAGTGGTACAGTAAGCAGTTTGTGCACACGTACTACGTACACTATTGCTGCAGTATCCAATGGATACTACAGTATCCATACAGTCAGACAGACAGGCAGAGTGGACTACAGAAGAGCCGAGGTGTGGCGCCGGCTCGTTTTCTTGGTGGTCAAGACTCTTGAGTCATGGTCGGCGAGAAAGCGATCGACAGCCACTCAAATGAGCTCGGCCAGCTTCCCACCAGGTCTCATCACTCGACCCCGTGCTTGCTCCAACCAGACATGGACAGCAAGTTCTTCATGCATTCGACACGAGCAATGCATAACAAGATATAACATGGCTCACTGATACATGTATAACTGATTAGCTGAGATGTCTTCGCTGACTCCAAACCAATTACAGCCGCAAAACCACCGAAAACCAAAAGATGGAGCGTATCGACAGCAAACTACATCGATTTAACTGCGTATAAGTTATCACGTCTTTTGATCTAGCACGTAAATATACCTGGCGCGCTCTAGCATTCTGCACGCGTGTCTACTGGAATAGATAGTAGGGAGGCTCCTTCCCGCTCAGTCCAGCCCGATTACGGGTTTTGTTGATGAATGGAGGAGACGACGGTGGCATGGCGCAGCGCAACTGATAGGATCAGCGCCCGCTGCCGCTGCCTGCCTGTCTGTCTGCAAGCAAGACGCAGCTGCGCCTGCTTGTCCTTGGTCTCCCGCAAAGGCCCGCCATTCATCTCGGAGCGAGGGCGTTCCTGGCTGTGATCGCGCCCATAGTCTCCGGACGTGTTCGGGTGGACTAAAGGCTGGACCGCTGTCCTCGCCGCTCCAAACGCGCTCACTTACTTCTTGCCAGTGTTAGGAGGCGATTCGCGGTCCTTCTGGATCCAGGCGCTCTTGAGCAGGTCGATCTCGAGGTTCGTCTGACGCTGCTTCTGGGCGTCGTTGGCGTCCTTCGTGGCAGGCTTGGGGGGCATTGTTTTTGCGTCGGGTGGACTGCAGGTGGACAAGTGTGTCGTAGAGCGCAAATTGCGTTTTGAGCCGACTTGAGCTGTGGCACGCAGCGCAGCCAGCCCTGTGCTTGACGACGTGACGGATTGGCTCCTGAAGCTGCAGGAGCTCCAGAAGGATTGGGATTATTCCTCGAGGTGTCGACACGACAACTTCTTAGCCCAAGCAAATTTCCGCCAGGAGTTAAAAAGGGCCAGGTTAATCAAGCAACTCGTGCCTCGTGCCACGTTGGACGAGCGGAACAGGAATCGATGGAGTGGCTCGTAAGCAAAGAAAGATTGTTCCTCGCGATAAAGAATTATTACCTAACTGGCCGATGTTTTGGAGCCGATGATGCACCTTACGCCGTAAGTTACGGAGAGTCTCACCACTTTGAGCAGTGAAAGGTGCACGCACAAAACATTTTGGATATCAAAAAAAGTAAATTTGCGGGGCTAGTGGCTCGTCCAGCACCGCCCAGGAGCGCGAGCGTGGATGTGAATTATTGACGCTGTAGCCCGGTCTAACTAAGCTCTGGTCTGGTGCCGCAGAAGATGAGAGCAGCCATCGCTGCTGATTCTTTGCTAGTTCAGACGAGCGCACGGAGACTTGTCGCCGCCAACTTCCGCCGTCTCGTTCATCTCCAGCTTCCAGCCAACCATGCGATGGTCCGATGCCAGGCTTTTCCTAACGCTACATTACATGTACAGTACAGCGCTCGATTGACTAGCGAATCTTGCATCATGTTGTAGGTCTCTGGAATGCTAAGTGTACACGTTCAACTTCGAAGAACATGATCTCTTCGTACGAAATTTGTGCGCTGATCTGCTATGTGGCGCAAGTAGCTGGTATTATTTTGCGCAGATCTTGAGCTGTGAGCCACACCGCAATTTCTGAAGCCATCTAATTTAAATTTCCAACTTCAACACCAGACAATTTGCAAGTTATGTGCACCTGGCAAGTTTCGCTGCACGCTGCTTCCCAACACGACTCGGAGAAGGATGGGCTAGCGTCTTGCTTGAACACGCACCGCAGTGGAGCTCAGACGAGGTGACATGCTGACTTACCAAACGATGAGAGCAAGTAAATGCTTGTGTCGGTTGGTGCAGGAGGGCCAGAGGCCAGGATCTCAAGCAAACACGGAAGTTGATCTCCATCTGCCGCGAATTTGCCACGCTGGTCAACATTGATGTTTGCATGCCCAATGACGACCAATCCAATTACATGTACACGCTTCTCTTTGGTCGAGCACATTTGCAACGCTCACCACGTCAATCACGCACTGGTAACGATCGCGTTGGGCTTTGCTACTTCATTAGTTCATGCACATGGGGCAGAATACCAGCAATATTACACGTGCACTATCCCAAATGAGGATGGACTCCATCCAAGACAAGCAAACAGCGGGCCTCCACGATGGAGACCCTCTGTTACACTGTAGCTTGTCTTCACACTGTCGCCCAGATGTTTGGTAGACCACCTTCCATCTGAGTACATGTAACGGAGGTCGTCATTGTCTTGTGTGACAATAGCATAATAAATACACAAATGCTGATGAAAAGGGCGAGCGTATGTTGGATCGCAGCAAATGTAAGCGTGATATCATGTCGCGATAAGCCATCAGCAAGTGCTCAAGTATCGGAGGTTTCCATATTCTTGGATAGTAGGCTATAAGCTAGACGAAGGGGGAGCCACTTTACCGAGACAGTCGCGCAGCAAACTTGGTGAGCGATATCGTCATAAAAAAAAACATGGTACGTACATACATTGTAGGGTTTTGGAGCACGCCCTGAATGCCAGCCCATACGGTACACTGTATGCAGAGGTTATAGGGGTGTAAATTTGGGCTTGAAGAGATCCGCGTTACACTCTCTTCGGTTATCGATGATTGCAGTTGAAAAGGTAATGATCTACAGTACAAGCTTTATTGCAGCTATAATACCATTTGTCGCTTAGAAATAAAATGTGCTAAGCAGATAAATACATGAATAATCTTAAGGACAAAGTTTTGTATGCCAGCATGAAATGATTTAAAAATATACATTTTTCATGGACAAAAGTATTGTGAATTCCAACCAAATTTGCTGTGTTGGTCCAAGCCAATGAGAAACAAATTTCTTGTTCTTTTGAAGCATAGCGCTCAAGAAAAGTCATTAATAGATTTCATTTCTTAGAATACTTTTTTACAGGCGCTTGAGCACTTGAAGAGAACGAATGCATTTACTTCGTGTATTACAGACAAATAGTATTCGGATATGTACGTACATGTACATTCACTTCTAGTTGATCTCTAAACTTGGACAAGATATTAGCGTTTTTTTTAAGATATGCTTTACCAGTCCAACTAAAGATGAAAACCTAACAAATTTTAAATAACAGATTGGGGGTTTCACTGGTGAATTGATAAGTGCGACGAACGGCTGCATAAAATCAATATCACCAATATTTTTTTAAAGAATTTTACATTTTACAAGTAAAAGCACGTGTATACTTCAACATATTGTACAGTACTGAATTAGTCAGCATGTATTATACAGGCATACGACACGAGCTTGTTCATTAAAATGGTTCTAATGTAGCTGCGAGAACATACCTTCCAGAACCTTTTAACAAAGCTTGGGGCGATCTTTGAAGTAAGAGATAACTCGCCCCATGAAAGATCCATTGTACTGCTTCCTTTCGTAAAATAGCCGCACTTGTAGTTGTCTCATTAAAAGAAGTTCACCCGCGGACTTTGTGGAGAGGTGGTGGACCTTAACTCAGCGGAAAGATCGTTCCCGATGGGTATACCGAGAAGCTAAATAATAACCGTCACTGCCTGTTTTTCATTCTCTTTATGGGTACATGTACGCCATTTGCGATGAAGGATGGAGAATTGATGACTTCCGCCGCTGGCCCTTCTCCAAGAAGATCTCGATATGCCGCTTCCCGTGCAGAAGAGACCGGCGCCTTGATATTGTATTAATACCGGTACAATGTACAGTAGCCACATTGCCATCCGGGTCATCTTGTTGCCTTCAACATCAGCGGCTTGAGCTGCCGCCATCGTAATGGCTGCTAAAACAGACTGGCGTTGGCAAAGTGCCCTCGTAGCCACACACGTAAACTTGATACGACGACGGTGGCAATCCTTGCTTACACCGCCACACCCTTCACAGTGGAGCGAAAGGACGCCCCTTCATGTCGCGGCAAGTGACTGCAAAAGCGCTGAAGTCGCGGAGAAGAGGATTGGCGACGATTTGATCATCGCCGCCAGAGCTGCGACGTGCTGCGCGTTTTGAGCGGAAACGACGATGTCTGCAGCGTCGTGAGAATGGGCAACAAAGCATACCAGCTCAAAGTATTGTGTATAATTTATATTATGGTGTGCTAAATATCTCAGAGCAGTCCCAGCGGCTGCGCGCCTCCTCTCTAATAATCGACGATGCTCGGGTAGTTGCTGTGCGGGGGACAACCACGCAGCGATCGAGGGAAAACTCGCTGCAGGCATGAATTTCTTGCCTCAACCTTTGACTCTTCCTCCGACTGCTCGTCGCGTTTCCCTTCATATTGTGACGCCCCTGTGGCAGCGGCCGTCGTCTTCTCTGTGTGTGTGCAACCTCTGCAGTCCACCTCATTCGGTTTTCCATCCGTATCCCTCCACCTCCTTCCCATGGCGACAGGGTAAAACCTCACTTGGCGGCCGAGAGCGGGGGCGCCGCGTGTGCGCCGTGCTGCTCGCGGTCCTTGCGGATCCAGGCGCTCTTTAGCAGGTCGATCTCTAGGTTGGTCTGCCACTGCTTCTTCATGGCGGCGTGGTCCTCCACGGTGGCGCATTCAATGGAGTGTGCGGACTTGGGCATGGCTGATGACTGTTGGGCTGTTGCTGAAACTCCAGGAATTGCAAGTGCTTTTGCTCGGTCGACGGCAAATTGCGATGTGAGCTAGATTCCGGAAAGCTCGGGCAGCGTCGCTCGCTAACCACCCGCATGGTCGTCGCATCGTCGTAAACGTCCACACGTCAGACGGTGCGTACCTTCTAACCCCAACCCAGATGGAATCCAGGCTAAAATAAGCTCAAACTCGAAGCGCTCCACAGCAAAACGGCGAGTGCGATGGCGACATTCTCATGCGTGCGCGGGTTGGGCTAGCGCGTGCGCGCTGGCACTGGTGTTTGCTGGCTGCATGGCTAATTCGGGGTGAACGCGCAAGGAGTGAAGGGCAGCGAACTGTCTTTTGAGGTCAGTAAATCAGAGTCCAGTTTGCGATGGATATCGACCATCATTCGGCGAGCCTATGCTACGGCATAGCCAAAATGAGCCCGAAACCGGAGTTTGTGCAGCAGCAATTGTTGCCTTTGCAAAAATGACAACTCAAGTAGCAGTCGTAGGTCGTCGAGACATGGCTGCGCTCGGCTTCCTGAATCGTTATTCGCTTGGCAACACAGACTGTTAACTCATCGAGGCCGTATCGTCGTCGTGGCAGCTTCAACTTCGCGGGAGCGCGAGGCAAATCGCCCGGGTTGTACGCACCTCTAATTTACTTTAAGAAGCTTTAAAAGGGTGGGTTGCCTCTTGTGGCTCGATGATTGAGGATAGTTGCCGACCCAGACTTGATTTTCAGTGCCAGTAAAATGGGGTTCTCTGCGGGGCCCGTAAAAAATGCAGCGATTGATGGAGGTGGTGCGTATCGATCGACTCGCATGACCATAGATGACGGCCGACTGAGACGGCGGCGGCCACGAGGGCACGACGCACGAACACGCCGACCAAGCTCCCGGCCGCTGCGAGCGAACGGCGGGGTGCCATTTGGTGGGGCCATTGCGGCCCGCAATGGCGCAATTTGCGGGCAATACGTGGCCAGAGCACTGCCGCGTCGACTCAGCAGCGACACAGGGCCGCCGGCTCTGACGGCACGCCAACGCCATATGCCGCTACCGTCTTACCCCGCATATAAGGCATATGTGTTCTAAATAAATTCGCTTATTTGACCACCTATCTAATTAGAACACATGTGTAAAACACAAGGCTGTACCAACCAATGAATATTCTTGAGAGCTCCCAACCACCCACCCTTCTGAACAAACTATTAGCTTTAATTCTCTTAATTAATAATTTACACAGTCATGAGTGCTGAGCGACGTAGCTATAGTATCCACGAGAAACTCGCTGTTCTAGCAGACTCGGATAGGCGTGAAAGGTCACGGCTTTGCTGCTCTTAGCAAGAAGCACAGCGTGGCGGTTTGAACCCACGCCGATCGCGTAGGAGGGTCAAGCCTAAGCGACCAAGCCATATTCCAGGACCCACAGACTTGCTTCTTCAAAGTCAAACAATTTGTTCGTTGTACAACACATAGGCTTTCTAAATGAATATAACACACAAGCAGCGTTGTATTCATTTACAGCACCTATGCCTTATATGCGGGGTAAGATGGTAGCGTCGGCGCTCAGGTCGAGCGCTGCGGGCGCCAGCTGGACCGGAGCACGTCGACGAGAAAAGCTGGTGCGTTGACAATGACACAGATGCGACTACACTCACAGCAGCGGTTCCTCACCGAGATCATGCACTATGAAAAATAATTTGTTGCCTTTCGATCCCAGAAGACAGGTTTCGAGACGCTTACAAAATTTGTCATTTTTAGATCAGCACGCAACGGATCAGCGACAATAAGTCGCTCGAGGCAAAATTTTGCTGGGGCTCACAAAGCGTCGAAGAAGAGGTCTGGCACCACAAATCTTCGGCTCATCCTGATTCACGAGCTTAGCGACATGCTCGCCTCCACGCCTGCACAGGCGTATTACAGTACCGGTAAGTACGGTATTCCGTGATCCTGGATCAGGTCGAAGTTTCCTAAACAAGACCTTGGGTCACCCAACTACCACCCAATGGGTGGTAGTACATGTATTCAAAGCCAAAATTATAACTGCGCTCGTGTTCCTTCCTTCAAAGTACATGTAGTCCGTACACCTCTCGATGGGCGCAAGTGACAGCTCGGCGACATGTTGGTACATGTAGGTACAGTACATAAGTAGTACGTGTAAATTGGGTACTTATCTTAACAGGCACCTAAAAGTACCCAATAACACTATAAATTGGTCAGATAGTCACATGGACAGTTTGATACCGGTACATGTAGCAGTAAGACATTTTATTAAACTACATAGTTGTATAATACAATATTTCGATATTCTAAGAGAGTAAATAATACCATCGAGTGTACACGATTTTAAACCCGTAGTGCCGCTACTTTCTGTGCTTACTACCGGTACCGTACTGTAAACACCTCAGAAAAATATAAGATTATCTCCATATTACCGGTGAGAGGAGGGTGTTTAGATAAGTGCCATTCCTGTAAGCGGGTATTCCATCGGTGTCATGTTGCACGCCAAGCTAACCCTCGTTCGCCTCGCCTGTCCAGCACTTCGGTGTGTGCAACCACTTCCCATCAGCACAAAAAAATCATCGGAGGTGAATGCATTCGAGGCCGAGCGTTCATCTCATCACGATAAACAATTTCGAACGAGCACCTTGTTGACAGGTTGTACCTGTCTTTATTTATACCATTAGACTAAAATGGTTTTAATGTGGTCTAAATCAATAAAGCAGCCGATTATCACCACCTATATTAATAGTGCTTGCAGCGGAGGTTTGAAACGATATAAAACTACTTGACCCAATCGAAGATAAGATGCAATGTCTTTTTTACTTGGAGCGTCTAATCTACCTCGAAGAATGATCACGCGCTGTAATTGTATTCAAGATACAAATAAACTTCCAATTGGATCTTCCAGGATTGAAGCTGACCTCTATTTGAAAAGCATGTACCACACAAATACAGTATTCTTGATAAGAAAACTCAACCACAGATCACGAAAAATAGAATATGTGAAGCTTTCGAGACATTAATTTCGCGATGCACCCCGGTGTACTTCGTATCCTACTCTACAACCGCGATTAATTTTCAAAAGTAAAGTCTATTCGTATAGTTTGATGTGGACGGGTATACTATAAAACAAAAAAGTGGTAATAATTCTGTTTGTGCCAGCCCCAGTAGACGCGCGTGTACGTCATTTATATAATGCGTGCGATGCTCGCTCGATCAATTCTCGGCGAGGATGGATCTTGTGCGCGGCACCATCGGGAGCAGAGCCTCGACATGGATGCGATTTTCATGCCACGCCCCTACACAAGCAGTCTATATTTCTGCGCGCACCGAAAACTCAATCATACAGTAAGCGTTGATGAAGCGGTCACCAATACAAGAGCGATTGCGCTTCAGGCTCACTGCGGAGAAGCTCGTGAGGGTTCTACAACTTGAAATGCTGAGCATGCAGACTCCTGAAGGCGGCATACGATCCGTCAACGTGTCCGCTAGGCAACCGACAGGCCACAGCCTGATAATCGTACAGCGATATTTTACCACGCAGCGATTGAGCGACCAAGATCAAGTTGAACACAGCATTTATTGAGCGCACGAGGTCGAGCTCTCTATTCTTGCAGCGGATAGTCCGACGAGCGATAAGGGGCTGCGCTCACGAGACGACAAAGGCATTCCTGTCGTGGTATCGTCGCTAAATTTGCGCAGCTCAGTCTGCAGTAATTTATGTGCGAAGTTGATGTGTCATCCTGCGGTAAAAAAAGTAAGAAGACACAGGTTATTCATCTACCTGTATGGACAATCCCCCCCTACGCGATTAATTCGTTTTAAGAAAGTTGCTTGCAACACAAGCAACTTTCAGATAATATCACGTTACACAGAGTTCTTTTACCCCTTCACTCGCTTTTTTTTACAGGTTTCGCGTTTTTATAGACTGGGAGGAGACTTTTACGTGCAAAAAAATCTTCGCTCCTTCCGGTCTTTTTCGTACTACGCAGTATGCATATTTCGCCTATTCTAAGACAGAATATTATCTTACTTCAAGTGCAACAGCATATTACTGACTGCTTAAAGTGCATCACCAGAATAGAGTGCTTTGACCAAATTTTCCGATAGAATTTTACCTCACATAAACTAGAGTCTGTTCAATTAAAGCGACACTGCATTTCCCCCCCCCCCAAGTCACAGCATTAACTACCAGGTGGCCAGGTCGGTCAACGTATCAAATCTAACCAAAATCTACGAATTGCATACAAACAATACTAACAGCACCGTAACTTGTAGATTTGCACTTAAACTAGTGACAGCTTCACCTAAATTTCCACGTGCCCACAGCCAATCATTCTAGAACCACGATAGGATTCACCACATCTAACCACGTGGCTTTCTACTCAGTTCCTATAAAGCTTACGAGCACCCCAACCCAAGCCCTCACGCGCCTGCTCACCAAGAATGCCTCGCCGACTAGACTGGATGCTCCTTGCCCAAAGCCTGTCCCTCAACGACGCCAACCTACTGCTCGACACGTTTAAAGCTACTGCTGTCATGAAGAGCGATGTTGATCCATGCACTTTGTGTGCGGTTCCAGAACCGCACAACATGAGGGTGCGGCTGCTACGCTGCTCCTGCGAGGCGTGCGCCAACGATGTCCCGTACACTCAATGCACGTGGAGAGGGAAAACGCAGCAGTGTTGTGTGCTGGACATCGTGACTGTGTGGGAGGCTGGAACTCATGCAAGTCGCCGCCAGCCTGAGAGGCGTATTCGGCTGACAGAGCCAATGAAGGTGGTTGCCAGGGAAATGGCGGCTCACCACCACCGCCCTATCCGGATTCGAAACGCGCTTCTCCGCCGTTTCAACCTTAGCCAGAACAGCTTGCCATCTCTTGCAGTGGTGCAGCGATTTGTTCACCATTATCGCGCTGCCCACCTAGGCGGCAGCGACTTCTGGGATGATGTCTCGAGCTTCGTGCGCGAGAGGGGCTTCACGGGCCAAGAAGAATTAAATGAAGGCTTTACTTTCACATGGAAAACGGATGGTGATGGCCGTCCGGTTGTAGGTACTGGCACCGACATGGATTCGTTTGTTGTGGGGCTGTCGTCTAAGAAATTGCTGCAGCGATGTGATCAAGATCCGGCAGCTTATGTGCTACACGTTGATGCTACATTCAAGCTCAATCAGGTCAACTACCCTGTCATCGTTGTCGGAATATCTGACTGCATGAGAACGTTTCATCTCCTGGCCGTGTTCATCTCGTCGCAGCGGACAAAGGTTCAATACGTTGAAGCTTTGTCGGCGCTGAAGCGAGTATTTCGATCCGTGACCGGGCATGATCTAGCCCCTCGTTTCGTCATGGTCGATGCAGACGAAGCTCAGCTGAACGGCATCGATGAAGTTCTTGCCTCCTCTATCGATGGAGCCAAGCCTGTTGGCTTGATGTGTTACTTCCACGTGTTGGCAAAGGTTCACGAAAAGACTCGTGCACTTGAGCCTTTGCTTGCTGCCCGTGTAATGCGCGACATCGCTGACCTGCACTTTACTGCTACTGCGGGCGCGTATACTGAGAAGAAGACGAAGCTTTTGTCCGACTGGGAGGGAGACACCAGGCTCACGACGTTTACTGCTTACTTCAAGAAGCAGTGGCTGGACAGCAGGTTTCATCGCTGGCAAGTGTTCCACACCCAACCAGGCTTCGCCACGACTAATAATCCCGTCGAGCAGTACAACCGGGCCTTGAAGAGAGACTATACACTGCACTCACGCCTCAAGATGGGTGCGCTGATAGAGCAGCTGCTGCAGTGCTGCCGCACTGAGAGTTTGAAAGAGAAAGCATTCGCTTTGGAAGTCACCCCCTCACCTGTCCTCGTACGACGTGCACGTGACCTTGAGCGAGCACACAAGATACGTGAGCTTGTATCAGGTCGATCCCGTGTGTCTTTCTTGTTGAATAACGCACCTTGTGAAGAAGACCATGTGTACGTGGCCTCAGAGCTTTGCGACCGAGTGTACGACCCGCAAGCTCGACGCACTAGCGAGTCATTACCTGTCACGTCCCGTCTCAGCGTCCAGGCAGCACGTGCTGAAGTGCGCGGCATGCCAGGTGAAGGCTGGCGTGTCAACGTGCTGTGCCGCCATTGTCCTTGCGACTATTACCTGAAGTTCGGTGTGTGCACACACCTTGTGTTCGCAATGCATGTGCGTGGTTTGCTGGATCTATCAAAGCGCAAGAAGCTAGCCTATCGTGGCTCGAACAAGGCTCTGCGTGCTCAAAGCGAGCGTCAACTAGCAGGAAGGCCTATTGGCAACAGCACAGCATTGCACAGAGAATAATGTCAGGAATCTCAAGGAACGAGAGACTCTTTACCTTTCCTAAATGCTCCTACCGTTCCTGTTGATTCTTGCCTTCGCATCGTGCTGGTCTCCCCCCATCCGTCCTGGCACCAGGTAGCAGCGCATGCACCAGCTCGCCCCGCGCAATTTCCTCACTGCTGCTTCACCACGACGCGCCACATCCCGCACACTTCCCCTGCATTGCTCGGTTGCTTCCCCGAGCAGGTTGCCCCGCGCAACAAACCCTCCGTGGCGCCGTCGTGGCGAGCAGCGTCCCGCACAATGTCCCCTCCTGGTGCAGCGCAGCCTGGTGCCAAATCTTTTGTGGAGCCGGAGCGACCTCCCCGACCTCGACACCTTACCCTGTCGCCCTGTCAGCCAGCGCTCTGCGTGTGCGCCGCGGCGTCCATGTCCACGCCCATCTCAGTGGCATTGTACATCGTTGGGTGGCGCACGACTTCACTTTCGGTGTTTTTCGTATTTTGACCGTGGACACTTGTGTACAATCCTACCTACAGTACTGTCTGTATCTACATGACGTACGTGTACAGTGTACATTGTACACGTGTATGTACGTCGACCAGAACCAGTCTCTGAGAGATGAGAGACTCTCTCATCTTTGAAAAGATTCACGTGCAGTCAATAGTCAATTGAGTCAATTTTTGAAGCATGTTGACTTCCTCGCATTTTGCTTACCGGAAAGGTTCGAATAATTTCAAAAATCCCGTGAGAAGTTACAGATATTAATTTAGTTAATCACACGAAAGCCCAAACGCTCGAAATCCTTTACTAGAAAATGTACTAGAAAACGACTCTAGCGAGCTGCGCATATTTTCCACATAAATAAAGATTCTTTAACTGTGAGCATTACTCCCAAACCCTTAATATAATATCGACTGGGGCCCAATCCCCCTTTTGCCGTGTACTTCTCGAACTAGTATTAAAAAATAATTTTATATCATTTTTTAACTTGTCAATGGTACGAACGAGGAGAAGTAGAAGATCTGGATTACGTTACATGTATTGTATACATATATTAAATACACGTACCGTAATCGAGTACAGTCGTGCACCTCCAATTCGGCAGGGCGGACCATATCAGCAGTGCCAGGGCATAAGTGCACAACATAAAGCAAAAAACAAACGCAAATCCAGTGCACTGATATTTTATTTGTTAATTCAGTACCAAGTATACGCCAATCTTCTGCATAATCTTGGCGTCAGACGCGCGAGTCGCGGGCGCGCAAGAGCGCTTCCGGTCGCGATAGGCGTCCGGCAAGGCGGCAACTTCCGCGGACCGCTTAAGAATACTCTCGACGGTAGTGCGCTTTACTGCTTGGGGCCCCCAAGTTGGGGGGTCTGAAAGCGCCCCGTTGCCCAACGAGCAAGTTCGGAGTGAGAGCATGCAGGATCTGACTTGTGCTTCCCGCACAAAGACTGCTTTTGTGTGACATGTAGGAGGAAGGGCGATGTCCCATTGTATTTGGCGGTAAAAATATAAGTGTGTGTTTGTAAGAAGACGTCCGATCCAAAATTTAAAATCAGATCGATGCGGCGTGTCATCCCTCGGCGAGTAGGGGAAAGCCGTTGAGGTTAATTGCTAGGGTGGTGATGGGCAAAGGTAATTGCGCATCTGATTCGCGTAATCATAAACTCTGGCAGGGTATCGACTGATACCGGTGCCGAATTGGAGGTGCACGACTGTAGCATCTTTTTAGGCAAGAAGAGTCCTGAAAGGTAAGTTTTTTTAGGTATAAATGCGGATCCAGTTGCTTCATTACACAGCTTGCTCAGTTTCTTTACAGTACATGTACTTGTATTTTTACTAAAAATTTAAGGAAGGTAATGGTACAGTACACCACTACTTTTTCATGTAGGTAATGGCAATAAGACCTTGAAGGTTCGTGGTCAGCATTCCCACTATACAGCAGTACTAAACTTAGACAGTGTATTAATACAATACTCTCAGTATCTAAATAACAAGCTCTTATTACATGACAGGTAATAATACTAATACTGCTTTTAAAATCATTACCTGTATTAATACTTCTTAGTACTTAAAAAGTACCAAAAAAAAAAAAAAATGGTAATACCAATACAAGCAGCTAAATGGTAGCACCAGAGTTTTTTCTCACCAAGCGTTACTTTTTTAGGTGCTGCAAATCGGCGAGATGCAGTAAAGTAGCGATATAATTAAGTGTACATTAAGTAACGAAGATGCATAAAGCGTACCTTAACGAGTAGGTAAGGTATACTCTTGTTTTGGATCGCAAAAGCAGGGGGAGAAGGAAAAGGATCGAGCAGGTTTTAAGTCAATTGCCATGCCTGGAGACGGATACGACCGCCACATCACCATCTTCTCGCCCGAGGGGCGACTCTATCAGATTGGTATGCCCGCAGAGTGTCTGTATCCCATTTAAAAGCGCTTCATTCCCTCATTCCTCTTTAATTGTTCAGAGTACGCCTTCCGCGCTGCCAAGGAGTCCACGCTCACGTCTGTAGCCGTACGCGGCAAAGACAGCGCCGTATTTGTGACCCAGAAGAAAGTTCAGGTAAACCACGCTCAAAAGTCTGCATATACTGCAGAAATTCCTGCTGACGCTGTTAATTGATGCAGGACAAACTGATCGAGCCCGACTCGGTAACGAATGTGTTCCAGATCACCCCCGAGATCGGCTGCCTTATGACGGGTCTCTACGGTATGTATAGCAAGTCAATTTAGGATCAGTACAGCGATTGATTGGCTGCGTATCGCTTTAATATCAGCCGACTCGAAGGCACAGGTGCAACGTCTGCGTTTCGAGGCGCACGAGTTCGAGAATAAGTTTGGCTACAAGGTTCCGTGCCACGTGCTGGCCAAGCGCATCGCTGATGTGGCCCAGGTGTACACGCAACACGCGTCCATGCGTGCATTCGGCGTCATTACGATGCTCATCAGTGTGGACGACGAGAAGGGCCCGCAGCTCTTCAAGATCGACCCTGCCGGTCACTTCTGGGGCTACAAGGCCACGTCTGCTGGTGTGAAGGAGCAGGAGGCACAGAATTACCTCGAGAAGAAGATCAAGGCCAACCCGGCCATGGACTACGAGACCACGCTGCACACAGCCATTACGTGCCTGCAGTCGGTGCTTTCGGCTGACTTCCGTCCTAACGAGATCGAGGTGGGTGTCGTGGTGGAGGGCCAGCGGTTCCGTCAGCTAACTGAGGACGAGATTGAGGCGCACCTGACTGCCATCAGTGAACGCGACTAAACCCGTCCACTTTTCTTGGTTATTAAACCATACACCAAGAAGTGAATCAAAGGAGCTGCGTTATTGAATTTCTTCTTTATGCTTACGTGTGGAGTAGCATTTTTGCATCTACCAGGCGTATCTATTTCTTGAAAACGCAGAATAGCGGTAACGGACGGCGATGTTTGAGGCGTCGCTGCATTCTACCTTGAGCCTGCTCATTCAT